AAGCCCCAAGGAGCACTCTATAAGCCTCCTAAAGACTATGCATGCCCTTTTATTGACAAAAAATGGGCCGTTTTGGGGAGGTCTGCAGAGTGCAAAACCTTTTTTTCCCAATTTGCCTCTTCAAAATCTCGGTGCGTCTTATACTCCGAAAAAATACAGTAAATTGGAATTGTAGTGACAAAAAAGATATTTTCCCCACTCCAGTCATTACAGGGATCAGGAGTTTTGCTAGCGGCATTTGCCTTTTGAGCAAAATCTATGATTTCATATTAATATGGGGTGTTATTTTTATCATCTACATTGAATAGATTGTTTTAAAAAATTGATAAATGAAAATAGGCAATGCTCCATCCTCTGAAACCACATTTATCTATTTCATATCTCTTAGTGAGGTCGAAGACTGCTAATAAAATAATCTGCTGTTTGACTTTAAGCTTGCCCAAGCGTATGTCAGGATATTTCTTGTAAGCATTTATTTCAGATTCCTGGGATAGTCTATTTAAACACATTTTTTATTTTATTTTATTTAAACACAGGGAGCAGCATAAAGCTTATCCATATTTTATCAGGTTTTAAAAATAAAGAACAACTGCATGCTTACTACTGGAATATATTAATATTGCATTTTCTTTTCTTTAAGCAGATGAAGCCTTTCTACACCTACCAGTTTTAGCTTTTAATAGCAGTGGAGTTCTCTTTCAATACCCTCATTTCATTATGTTCATGTGATTGCAAAGCTACTGAGCAGGATAAAGACCGGTATCATTGTTATGGGATGAGAAAAGCAATTCTTGTTCTTTGACAAAAATATACAGCTATTTATTCTGTAATTTGTTGTTCTCATGACCATATCTGATGAAGCATTCAAAAGAAAAATTTACCTCGTCTCCGCCCATAGCTCCTGGCTGCATGTAAATAAAAAAAATACAATAGGTATTGGCATAATAGGAATTATTATATTGATAATTTTCTGCAAATCTAAACTTTGAACAAAATAATTCCTCACCTAGATGAGAGTACTATTCTTTATAAAAAACAAAAACAAAATCTCAAGCAATTATTTAATTGAAATCATTTTAAAAAAAATCATTTTGTTTAATAAATCAATTTATATAGCATTCTTTAGATCAAGTCATATTAATCTAAATGGCTAAATGTAAAACTGAAAATGCAGTAGATGAAATATATAGCATTCACTATCAAAACTAATATTCTTACAATCTTAGTTATACAACTTCAGTCTGAAATTCCAATTTTATCAAACACTCAAAGCGATTTTGTGTACTGGCAAATGGAATATAATCTGAGAATATAAAAATTGAACCATTATATTAAAGAAAATACAGGTTACTCAAATATAACTGTAACTATTAAACATAGGTGGGTTGCTGCCCATTTGGCCTGGATCAGGTGAACCGGCAGTAGCAGTTGGCGGGAGGCTCTGTCCACCTGCCTGTGCGCTTCTACGCATGCGCAGAAGCATTGCTCGCAGGTGCGCGTGGCGTTACACCCAAACTGGTAGTAAAAAAAATTAGCAACCCACCTCTGCTATTAAAGCACATCTATGCTTCAGTTCTTATCTCACTAAAACAGTAAATGGTCATATTTCCCTTTTCTGAAATGAAGAATTCAATAATTCTTTGCCTTTTTTGTATGTTCTGCTACTTCTTGCATTGAATGAGCTAGTAGAGGCTGGGTAAGAAATATGCATTCAGTTTCTGAATCAAAAAAGATTTTAGGTACAGGACATTGTGAAACTCAACCAAATAAATCATTCTTTCTAGAAAGCTAACATAGTGGACATTTAAACCTTTATAGCAATTGGTAATATTTTGATCTTCCTCTATTTGCCAGCAAAATCATTTCAGTTTTTTTCTATAAACTGTTCATTGTGGCATTACTATTTAGAGCTTTCTAATGGTTTCAAACTGCTAATTTCATGTAGATTAGTACTGTAAAATGCATTTCAAATTCAAAACAAACATATAAATATCACCGAATTCTAGAAAAAAGTATATAATGCTAAATGAATCTATTGTTCCATGTATAGTTTATAAAATAAAAAATAATGCTAAAGACTGAAAAATAACGTAGGCAGCTTTGAAATTATATTAACTCTTGAGAAGGAAGAGTCATAAAGCAAATCTTCCACTTTCAAAGAAATAGAAAAATAAATTACATATGTATTTCTGTCAGTGTTAATTTAAATACTGCAACAAAACAGCGCCAGAAAAAATGGAGCCAAATTCACAGAAATTAATGCAGAAGGATTAGATACAAAGACATAAATAACACTTTTAAAAGCTGCTGTAGAACAGGCAACTAAATACCAACACCAAATACTGAAACACAAATAAGGAAAATGCTAATTAAAAACTAACCATTTATTTACCGTATCTCTATACTAGGGAAATACTCCACTCCTTTCCTTCTACTATGTATTAGAATGGGTGAAAATATTTGATATTTAAGTTGCATTATGGCAAAACACATAATTGATTTTAGTCTATGCCTAATATAGGTAGTCCTCAACTTACGACCACAACTGAATCCAAAATTTATTTTACCGAGTGAGAAATTTGTTAAGAGAGTTTTGCCCCGTTTTACGACTTTTCTTGCCATATTAAGTGAATCACAGCAGTTGTTAAATTAGTATCAGGGTTGTTAAGTGAATCTGGTTTCTGCATTGACTTTGCTTGTTGGAAGGTTGCAAAAGCGGATCACATGACCCTGGGACACTGCAACAGTCATAAATATGAATCAGTTGTAAGCATTTGAATGTAAATCACCATAACCATGGGATTGCTGCAATGTTTATAAGGGTGAGAAATGGTCATAAGTTACTTTTTTCAGTGCTGTTGTAACTTGAAAGGTCACCAAGTGAACTATTGTAACTCGAGAACTACCCGTATTTCAGCTTTATTTAAGTAACTAATCAATCCAGAATTAATAAGTGTAATTAGCATACAAAAGGAGAAAACCTAATAAAGCGAATTCAATGTAGCATCTGTGAATTCTTTGTGTGGAGATGACATGAAAGACTCTGCATGGATTTTCAAGAACTGCATTGAAGAGGTACATGCCCATCCATGTAAAATTCAGCATGTGAGGAAACACGTTAAACCGTACAAAACGACTTTTCACATGTTGAGAATCCTCCCCAAGATGGCTGCTGAACGGGAAGGAGATTTTTCTCCCTTGCTGAGGATCCGCCGATTTTGCTGCCTAAGCGGACTCTCTGGCAATGCTGCCCCCTGGACTTGAATGGGAGAAATTAGGAAGCCAAGATGACTTTGGGATGGCCATGAACCCATTTGGGAAGGGGGGTCTTGAAGATCCCAGTTCCCTCTGGGAGCGAATTGGAAAGTTGCGGGCATCCCGCTTCCTGTCGCATTTCAGGTTTGTTTACGCAATGGATTTACTTTGCTTTATATCTTTAAAAGTAGACTAGTCAGCTGAACGCTGATTTACTTCAACCCCACTGCTGGACTTTTAACTCTTCTCTTGTTTCTTTTTCCCTTTGATTTATGCTGTTCTAAATAAATTTTGCTTTCTGTAGGGAAACATGGTGTACTTATTGGTGGTGAAGTGCTTTCATTTGATTTACATTAATTTTGGACTCTCACCAAAGGGCTTTTATATCTTTTTAATTCGCAAAGTACTTGGAATTTATTTCTATTTAATTTTTCTTTTAATTTTGGGTTGAAATATCCAACATTCTGCTTCAGCTTCTTTGTTCTCTGGTTAAGCTTCACAAAGCAATAATGTTTGCGATTACAGACAAACAATGGCTGAAATCTGAGAAAAGACCTTCGGGCAACATACAATTTTTAGTTGAAAGCTTTTATGACAGCTTTATGAGATGGTAATGTTCATGGAAAATATTTGGAGAACTAACTGAGTTCATACATCTCTCTGAACTTCAAGCCTGCATTTGTTTACAAGAACAGAATCATGACATGGAGAACTGATAAATTCTTTTTCTAAGAAGGACCGCGGAAGTCTGGGGCAGTCTGGATTTATTACTCTTAATTGCAAACCTTTTTTTATTTGGACTGTTGGGAAGATAGACTAATTGCAGAGACTGAATATATTATATTTAACTAGACAACAAGTGATAAGAAATGGTATCAAGAAACAAACGTAGATATTTAATCCAGTCTGAATTACTTTAATTTTGGGAATGATTTTCAATAGATAAGACGCCATGGTAATCAGTCTTGTTTTAATGTCTATACCCATGATGGCAAACCTGTGGCACACGTGCCGGAAGTAGCATGCGAGTCATCGACCATTGCTCTTCATGGTTCTAGCACGCCGGCCAGCTGGTCTTCACACACGAGGGAGTGCCGGAAACTGGAAGAGCAGCTGCACTTCCAGTTTCCGGCACTCCCTCGTGTGTGAAGACCAGCTGGCCGGCGTGCTAGAACCATGAAGAGCAATGGTCGATGGCTCATGTGCCCAAAGATGCGGAGAGGGGAACCCGGCTGTCACTTCCTAGGGGAGCAGAGCTGTCGGACAGAACGGGCGGGGTGGGGCTTCCCTCTCTCTCCCCCCCAGCAGGCTTCTTGCACGGCTCCAGCCCACCAGTTTGCAGCACTGATGTGCATCAGTTGGCCGCCATAGCCTGCCCCCTTCCAATAATGCTGGGCCGTCAGTGACGTCTCCATGCATGAGGAGTTGCGCTCTCCTCCGCCATCCTGGGGCAGCTCTCCTCCTCAATGGTAGCTCCTCCTCCTTCTCCAGCATCTCAGCCGGAAGTGGCAGCGCGAGAACTGCCTCCGCCCCCTCAGCCAGCTGGTCTTCGCACACCCATGTGCGCCAGAAACAGGAAGACCAGGTGGCTGACACGCATGCGTGCGCCGGAAAGCAGAAGATCATCTTCCCAGTGTGCGCATGCAGATGGCTGCTCTTCCAGTTTCCGGCATGTAGGCACATGTGTGCGCGCATGCTCCCGTTTCAGCACTTGGTGCCGAAAAGGTTCGCCAACACTGGCCTATACCTACCTGCTAATATTTAAAGGTGTTATGGCTACATTACAAAACTACCATAAAATCAAAGGAAAAAATATAGCTATTTTAAAGGGTTCATGGTAAATGCTATACTCATACCCATGTGCTCTGAAGTACTTCGTAGAATTAAATGCAACGTGTTGCACACGTAATAATGTTCTTAATAGTGTTTAACTTCTCAAAATATGTTCTCTGTATTTAAACATATTTGTTTAATTATCACTGCTTCAAAACAGCTAAGTTGTTTTCTTTTCTGTAAGTAAATAATTTTTCATCCATATCTATTTGTATATCTAAAATACCTATAATTTTTCTTAAGCTATTACCCACATGATAAATGCAAACATGATAGTTTGACCCAATTATCTTCTCCTTTTTCTGAATACCAATGTTGTAAACTGACCACTCCTCAAATAAGAAAATTAATAAACCATAGGACAGGTCTTCTCTGTCTATCTAATTCAGAGCAGTAAAGCACTGTCCAATGCTAAAGAGATAGCTGTTAGTGGGTTTTTTTTTAAATACTGGGAGAGATGATACCAAGAAATGGTATCTTGCTGGGTCCTAATTATTTCCCAGAGGTTTGGACGACATTATATTTTAAAAGACTATCAGTTACTAGAGTTAGTTTACAGGAATATAATCTAGAATAAAGTGCAAAAGCAAATAGCATAATTATGAGATTATATTGATTGGACATTGCTTCCTAAGTGGCTAGCAGAATCATACAAAGAACACATAAATGCATTTAATGCACTGTCGGAAGAGAAAATATAATTGCATCTTTCATTAATAATCAAATAAGAGCAACGTATACCCTATACTAATCCAATTTAATTCAACAGTTGATTATGATCAACATTTCCACTGTGCTAACTAACATGAATACATCCATATTCACTAGCTGTGTATTAATGTCAAGGCGCATAATAATGGGATTTCCAATAATTTATTAAGTTCACATTTGCAATGCAACAGAGTTCCTATGCATTATTAATTATAACATGAATGTTTATGGAATAAAAAATAAAACTGCCAACAACCAGAAATTTGTAGAGATTCATAAACTCTTGGGAGACAGATCTGACAGGTAATCGTATCAACAACAACATAATCTATTTAGGTTGTTTGTGCATAACTCTGTCTGACTTTAATCATATTGCTACTCTTCTTCAGAACGAATTAGACTGTTTATGCAAATAGGTAAGAAAATCGATGCTGAGTTTTAAAAAAATAAAATCACATTATCCTTGAATTTTTTTAAAACATATTCAACAAAATAATTGTAACTGCTCCCCACACTTAGTACACAATTTTATTACTAGTAATAAAATAAGCAGATATTGCCTGCCAAAGAAAGAAAGTCAATCAAACATTCAACTCTGAATGTTTCAGAAAATGTTTAAATGTATATACTAAAATGTATATATATTGAAACATTTGCACTTAGCAATAATTGCAAACCAAATAAACCTCATTGGCTATAATACTGCACAAAAGGACTGAACATCATCTGGGAAGAGGACAGGTGGGATCTGATGGGTGTCAAAGTTACTGTCCTGTATGAAACCCGGAGCATCTAGGAGAACATCAGTAAGATGGCATCCATAGAAGAGCTGCTTGAGAGAATGCCTGCGTAACAGCAGTCATGTTGATGAAGAACAGCCATAGGCAAGACACTGAATGCAGGGGTGGGTTCCGGCAGGCACTACTGCCAGTTTGCTCATGGGTGCGCTGCGCGCACATGCGCAGTACAATAAAAATTGTTCTGCGCATATGCAGAAGAAAAAGCCAAGGTGGCGATGCTTATGGTGCTGCCCGACCAACCGGTTTGGGGGCATGGCAGGCCTGGGTCGCTGCCGGTTCCAGCAACCCAGGCCGCCAAACCGCTACCGGTTCAGCCGAACTGATAGGAACCCACCACTGACTGAATGGGACTTTACCATTGACAGATGGGTGCAGGTGGGTGCAGTGGGAAATCCTATAAGAGGCTGGAGAGGGTTGGATAGCAGCACAAGAATAGGCAGTAAGTACCAGATCCATAGAAGGAGGAGTATATACCTCAATGGACAGGATCCAAGGTGCAGACTATCCGGAGAGACCTCAGGGACAGTCCAACAACCCTATCAATAAGTGGTAGGGTATTTTCACTGAATGGCACAACCAGTTGGCATCTGCACTGTGTATGGATTAATTTAGAACAGGGATTCCACAGAAGCTCGTGGAGAACAGTAGGGCTAAGATCCTGATTTCTAGATCCCAATTTCCAGATCCAGATGGACAGGGAGGTACTGGCCAATCAACCAGACATCGGAGTAAGAGACAGGAATCAGAAAGTAGCCGTGATGGATGGTGTTAGAGGTAATAGTGCCAAGTGAGAGCAACATAAGGAATTAGAGAAGATATGGAAAGTAAAAATTAGTAGTCCCAGTAATGGTCGGATCACTTGGGTCTGTAACTTCTAAGAGGCTCAAAAAATCTGAAAGGTCTTTACCATACATAGTTTGCTCCAATATACTGTACAGATTTTTACAATCACAATACAGATACTCCTCGACTTACAACTACAATTGAGCCCAACATTACTGCTGCTAAGTGAAACATTTTTTAAATTAGTTTTGCCTCATTTTATGACCTTTCTTGCTGCAGTTGTTAAGCACTGTGGTTGCTAAATTAGTAACGTAGTTGTGAAGTGAATCTGGCTTCCCCATTGACTCTGCTTGTCTGAAGGTTGCAAAAGATGATCACACAACCCAGGAAGCCTGCAACAGTGCTAAATATCAGTCATTTGCCAAGTGTTTGAATTTTGATCATGTGACCATGGGGATGTCACAATAATCCTAAATAAGCCTAAATGTTAAAAGCAGTCATAAACCACGTTTTTCAGTGCCATTGTAACAGTCACTAAACAAAGTGTTGTAAATCAAGAACTACCATATTTTTTGGAGTATAAGACACACCTTTTTTCCCCAAAAAAGAGGCTGAAAATCTGGGTGCGTCTTATACATCGAATACAGCATTTTTTTGCCTCCTGACGCCCCGCCCCTTCACCAAAATGGCCATGCATAGCCTCATGGAGGCTTTCAGAGAGCTCCTGGGGCCTGGAGGGGGCAGAAATGAGCAAAAGATGGGCCGTTTCCCCCCCCCCAGCCCCCAGCAGCACTCTATAAGCCTCCATAAGGCTATGCATGCAATTGTTTTGACAAAAAGGGCCCATTTTCGCAAAAAAGGGCCGTTTTTTGCTCGTTTTTGGCCCTCCCCCCAGGAACACTCTGCAAGCCCAAGGCTATTCATGCCTTTTTTTTAAAAAAAATGGGCCTGTTTTTGCAAAAAACGGGCCATTTTGGGGAAGTTTGAAGAGTGCAAAACCTTTTTTTTTCCTTTTGGAAAGCTCTTTAACTGATTGATGAGAATTACATTGATCAAGTGCTGTGCCAGCAGAAACAAAGTCTTAGGTGCTGCAGATTGTCAGCGATTTCCTTCTCCAGCACATGATTAAATACAGGTGTATTTAACAAACATCTACCTACCTACC